CTTATACTTGTATTGACGTATAAATTATCGGCGAACTCTACGAATAGATGATATATGCACGAAGGACCTATTCCCTATATAGCAAAATTAATTACTCGACTACTGATGGTATCTGATAGGGCGGTATCGTAATAGAAGCTTAAAAAGACTTTACTCTACAAAAAGTACTTTACACAACCAAAAGCTACATTCTTCCATAAATAAATCAGTCAACAGCCATCACAACGTTTTTTTTTCTTTCTTTTTTTTTTTTTTTTTTATTTAAGTGGATCAGAATTAATATTTCAATCTATAAACAGGTAATGATACCACAATGGCGTACTGGTTTAAAACAAATTTTAGTTTTAACGATCTTCTTATTTATTACTGTTATTATTATTGCTTTAGTTTTTCTCTAGGCGTGACTATAAACGCAAATAATCTTCCTTCTACGACGACAGACTCTGCTGCGTTGCTCTAGGCGATACTTCTAATGCATATGTATACCTACGTATTAATGGCATCGTATACATAGCAGCTAATACATAGCCGGTTATCGTAATTCCATCGCTTATTCAAAACATTAACTGAGATCAATAAGTTAAAACAGTGACGATAATTCGCATTCTATGTAAGTTCTTTTCTATTTATTAACTCCAGTTGCTTTTATGCGGCTGACAACACCTCACATCATTTTATCGTCGTACGTCGACCCTAACGTTACTACGGAAACAGGACTACAGATTATAGTCCTATTTCTCTATGGCCTCCAACGGAAAGCAACTTGTGTTTTCTATAGATTTCATCAAAAGCATTCTAAACAATTGTTCGGCACCTACCTCTGCACGGAAATTCTTGCACCTATCCTAAATTCTAGTTCCATATCTAGCTACCCTTTAGGGCTGGCGTCGGTTCTTGGAATCGTACGTAAATTCGTTGGAAATTCTACACCCGTTGAGCTTACATGACAGTGGCTGTTGCTTCAAAGCTTATTCAAAGCACGGTTTTCTGCCTTTCGGTGTTTCATCTCGAAGTAGATTGCGACTGCCGCAAATGCTATAACCAAGAGGAACACAAACACGGCCGAAACCTTGCACAAGATGCTGTAGATCGGATGTGACGTCTTTTCGCCATTTTTGGACGACGGTTTTACTCCGCAGCCGTGAAGTGGCACCGTGGTGGGCCGGTAAACGGTCGACTCTTGTGCGGCACGGATCTGCTCATCGAGACACCATGGACAGTTATTTAAGGTCCTTATAACAGCCAGACTACCGGTACAGGGAGCATCGTTTGGCAAATTCGATAATTTCTCAGCGGATTTAATGCCAGCCCCAGAGCTGGTTGAAGATGTTGCTGTTGACTCTTTACTACTTCGCAGACATGTTGTGCTCGTTGCCGGATGTTTGAAACTATCTTGATAACGTTTCAATGGTACCTCTGACTCTTTTTGAGGAAGGCGCGGCCGAAAAGTTTCGGGAGTATCTAAGAGTGGTTTCGATACGGCCATAAAAGTAAGTTCCGAGACATCTCTAGTGCCTCCGACTTCATACCGCGGAGTACGATCTATGAAACTGCTCATGCTGGTGACCGACTCTGTTATATTCTGTTATATGTATCTTCTTCCGTGATATTTTTCGAACAGCCGTGGTCGGGACGTAGAAGACTCTGTTACACGTCGTCGACGAGATGTCTACGCTTTTGTTAACGTCATTGTTGCTTCAGAACTATTACAATGATAAATATAAAGATGTTATATTTTTGAGAAGAAAAGCATTGACTTTTCATCGACGTAAGAAAATTTTAGCGAAAATATTTTGTTAAACCACTTATACCACAAAAACTAAACTTATTCGTAATTCTGCGCAATCTGTGAGGTCGTACCTTCACCCCCATGTTAACGCGAGGCGTTCAAAGCATAACAAAGACGCAGACGATACCTCGTAGGAATGTTCCTTGTTATGAAAAATTGTTGCGCCATTAAATTTTGGCGAACAAACGAAAACCATACGTTCACCTCTGATTCCTTGATTTAGCGTTTACATTTTCTTGCATATAAGGCCACAGTGTCTTGGCGTCCTCTACCCAGCCATGAAATAATAGATAAAGTGAATGAAAAGTCGTACTGTACAGGGACTTGGTCGCTCTGTATTTACATCTTAGCGTATTTTCCTTGGTACTTTTCAGGTAAGCCACTACGATGACACAATTATCGCGAACGAAGTTTATTCGTACTGTAGATATTTTGTAGAGTCGTCGCTATATAACTTTTAAGCGCTCGCTTTTCCATAAGCGCGTACACGCTACACGAGCTATCTGAATGAGAGAAATTATTGTTTTACAAATTGAATATTTAGAATTTGTTATTATTGAATAATTTACATATAGAAATAGCTTTGAAAGTCTGAATTTTTGCATTTGTTATTAATTACTTTTCGTATATATATATATATATTGTAGACTCTGCATTTGGTGACATTTTTTGTACCATTTTCTCACGCCAACCTTTGATGTTTTCCATTACTAACTACACTACATACTTAAGTCGCTAATTATCCTCGAGCATTTTTACTAATTTTTTGCTGTACCTACGTTAAAATTGTCCTTGATTCTCACTTTTACGGTATCAAATGTAAAACTCCGAACTTATCTTTATTGGAAACTAAACCTTTTATTTTCCTTCGAATTTATTAAACAGCTGTATCTTGCTACATTAGAACTTTTTAAATGAATAAAAATTAGAAATAACGAATACCGCTGATTCATTGTGTACTTCTTATTTATGTTATATATTCGCTTTAACGACGCTAAGCACGTAAGCACAATACAAACGATACTATTTACGATAAGATTCACAAATGGCCACATTCCGGGACAAGTACAGATGGTACATATGTGTAACGTGTGGAAGTGTGTGTATATTAATTTGCTATTTCCCTCTTGTGTGATGTGAAGCGATATTAACGAATAACCCATTTATTTTATCGTTTTAAGTTGCCCATAGGTTCGTTCATAAAAAGTTTCGATATATAACTCATAATTCCTCATGATAGCGCAGTGGATAACATGTTTACCTTCTAAACTTCAAAGAATTCGATCCCAAGCGCTGACGCACATCATTTTGTGATCACAGCCGCCCGTCCGAAGGAAGGACACCTGACGACGTAAGCGCTAAACGTAAATATTTTAATTATGACAGTAGGCGGCATCGCCTACAACGCAAACATACTCAGAACTGCGTGAAGCTCTATTTATCACATTGATTGACTTACTTCAAAACGGTTCAAAGTTCGATTTTTTACGCACTACATTTGGAACAATTTAACTTACGACATTTCCAATTCTAAAAAAATGTCCGAAATTATTTTTCTATACTTGCACATGTTAACCAGTTAGGTCTTAATGCTTGCTAATAATTTGTGGTATATTTTCATTTTCAAATGCTAGAAGCGATCAAACATTTTTACACTTCCGAAGTTCCGAAAAATCTCAATTGTTTCGCACGAGTTTTGGTAATTATTCTAGCCTTCTCGGAGTACACTTACTACCGAAAGAAGAAGATGTCTTATTAAAAAAATAAGCTAGATTTTCGTAATGTGAGCTTTAAATTTTTCTTAAAAACTTTTGATTTTCCATAGTGGAGGGACAAATTGTTCTCCTACCCAGTACCTATGTTGAAACACGGACAACCGATGAACCCTTCGATATTCTTTTTTTTTTTAACGTTCTTAGATTAATTTGAAAAAAAAACTATCTAAATCAGCCATAATGAAAATGTGCTCAAGATGGTTGCGGTCAAATGCTGGCCAGAGACAACAGCACATCATATTCAACAAAAAATATCAATGGCATTTTTTTCAACTAGCGTTGACATATTTAGCCAGCGGTATTTTTTTTTCGGTGTAGATATTTATACTTTTATTTTAGAACACGTCTCGATAGCTAAACCTCGGTTTTCCGGAACGAAGAGCTTATGCTGGCATGTTAGAAACGACGGTACCGACCACACACATGTTCTTTATTTACTATGTTCCGGAGTCGTTTGCTGCTTTAGATACATTCGGAAATCTTCGTGATTAATTTCGCAATTGTATTGTAACGTGTATTCGTACATAAAATCTGCCTCGCACGTATAGAGCCATTACATGTTGTTAATTGTTTGGCTTTCTTCATTTCTCGTACTTCTTCCTATGACATAATATTATTTCTTCTGTTTTCGTTCTTTATCTTCATTTCCTTTCAATGTAGCCGTTACTTCACTCAATGTATGCAAATCAGGTTTCCACTTCAATCCTGTTCACGCCCATAGTTAATAGTCGTATAGAATCTATAGTGAGAACAGAGCTAGCAGTCGACACTTTTGATACGAGATGCGTACGATAATAAAGTTCAGAGTAATACGAAAAGAGTGCACAAAATGAAGTGTCTATTATTATCAATACTATATGGACTTGTTCTGCAATATACTGATATTGAATCTATGTTTACTTCTTTGGCGGACGTGGCGACGCTAATACTTTAACTAAATTCACAGTCTTTTTTTTTTTCAAAATATTCATACACTTTTGCGCACATATCTCTGAAAGTGGACGTTTATCTAGACACTTCTCTACAGGTTTACATGTTTTATGTACCTTATAATATCTTTGGTCTTCTCGACACAAATGCTTACGCATGGAGCACTTCGTACTAGCAAAAGAGTCATTTTGTGATGAAATTCAGTTTTTCTTTTTTTTTTTTTTTTTTTTTTTTTTTTATTACAAAGTGGCTACTACAAAGCGGAGTACTTAAGCTTGCTGAACGAGCTAGTTTGGCTTCCAAACATACATATTTTCGATTTTACGTATTGCCTAGTTGCTATAGGTTCTGGTAGAGGAGATACCAGTTTATGCTTCTGATTGGTCGTAAGATGTGTTTGCTTGATGTGCCGCTAGAGGGCGGAGCGATCATTATGTTTGCGGTCAGCGTCCTCCCAGGCGCCCCAGCCGCGCTCCGACAGTACTGAACCACCTCCAGGTCAGATCTCAAAAAAAAGGAGAAGAAGCTAAGATTGAACTCCAAAATTTCGCTAAGGAAATGAAAACTAGGAAAAGCTAGGGCAAAAGTGGTGTAATGAGCTAAAGAACATGGAAGGCAAAACCTATAGTCTGTGATTAAGGATTTTTTTCGTGCTATTGTAGATACACCTGCAATAGCTTGGATCTTCTCACAGATACACCGTGCCTTGCTTACTCCGATGCTTGTAAGTGTTCAATTTAGGAAAGACATTAGACTCTCTACATATATATATAT